TGAAACCTGTCTAGAATTTCAGAAGGATTTCAGGCCATCCTTCTGGTCTACATCCCTAGACCCAAGGGCTAGACAAAGGATGACTGTTTGTGGGCGTGGGGAATGAATATTGGATGTGATGGTATAAGGCTCACACATGTGTGCATAAAACCATTCATAGTAAGAGACAAAGCCAGGGAGGAAAGAGAAGGGAAATGGATTGCAGTCTGGGGACTGTGAGCTAACTCCCCTCACAGCCATGGTCTAAAGTCCCACGACTTCTAAACTAGAACGTGGCCTTCCAGTGTTTTATGAAAGTATATATTTGTCAAAGTAGAAAGATAAACATGTTTTATGCTGCCATTTGATATGTAACTTTTAAATATTTATACATACGGTATGTAGACCTCCATTTAAGCCCTCACCCCAAAATATTAGAGGTAGGCTGGTTGAAGTGTCATTGGTGTACATGGTACAGATGAATGAATATTTGGAAGAGATTACATAATCTAGATTGGCATAAATTTTTATTAGCTCCCTTTAAGGGGTCAAAAATTTATTGACCGTCATAATTACAGCAGTCTTCCCAACAATTTATTAAAGGCTGAAGTACCAACATCTCCAATAGTTAAGGGTACTAACGATAAATCTAATGACAAAGTAAATAGGATTTTATGTTTTATAAATGTATTAACACAGTTGTTGGTTAATTACATTGCCACGTTTTTAAATAATATGATATTGGCCCCAAAGTGTTAGTACCCTGGATAATAGTGAAACATTTCCTCCAGGCAATTATTAAATCCTCCTCAGCAGCAAGAGAAAGATTAAAACATTGTCCCAGATTCATGACTAAGTTGATCAGAAGGGGAGTCAATTCTGTGAGAAGGCAGTGCAACACAGATGAGATCATCTAGTCATGTGGCTTCAGTTAGGAGCTCACATCTGGTTTCTATAGAGATCCTCCTGCTAACCTAAGGGACACACCAAATCTCACTTCTTCCATGAAGGTCTCTCTCCTAATACTGAACTTCCATAGCAGTCTGAATCTCTAAGGCATAAATATTATGCTCTTTCTTCATTAGTCATTGTATCTCTTATCTCTTGTAATAGATTGTATAGGTCTGGAAACCTGTAACTTTCACCTTTAAATCACCAACACGTGCAGCACACATAGTAGGCATTCAATGAATGCTAAGTGACTGCATAGACAGATGATTCCTACCTTTGTCATTATTTTGTGGGGTTTCCTTTTTTTTGTCACATATTTATCTATTGTGCAATCTCCTCTACGGTAATTCTTTTATTTTCACCAAACCCTGAAGAATGCCATTAAAAACATAGACAAGGTGCCCCAACCGAATAGCTCAGTTGGTTGGAGCATCATCCCATATACCAAAAAGGTTGCAGGTTCAATCCCCGCAACTGATGGATGTTTCTCTCTCACATCAGTGTTTTTCTCTCTCTGTCTCTGTGTCTGCCTATCTCTCTCTTCGTTTCTGGATCTCTCTCTCCCTCTCTCTCAAATCAATAAAAACATATCCTTGTGTGAGGACTAAAAAACACACACATGCACACACACGCACACACACATAGACAAGACTTTTCTTTTACTTGGAGCATATTCAAAGGCTAAAGGTATTCCTATATGTGAACAGAGGAATTTCTATCGGTTGATATATGACTGAAAGTTTGTGTTCCTCCAAAATTTGTATGTTGAAGTCCTGAACCCCAAAGTGTTGCTATGAGATCATGGGAGTGGGATCCTTATGATGAGATTTGTGCCCTTTCAAGAAGAAACACAAGAGAGTTATTGTCTCTCTTTCCACACACACCAGGGAAAGGCCATGTGAGGATACAGTGAGAAGGCAGCGACCTGCAAGCCAGGGAGAGAGCCCTCACCAGGAACAGACCCTTCTGGACCTTTGATCTGGAACTTCTAACCTCTGAAACTGTGAGAAAATAAATTCTGTTATTTAAGCCACTAGTCTATGATTTTGTGATGACAACCTAACAAGACTAAGACAGTTGAGAATGCTTTTGGCAGCACATAATAAAAAAGTCAACTTTTTTATATATATATTTTTTATTGATTTTTTACACAGAGGAAGGGAGAGAGATAGTTAGAAACATCGATGAGAGAGAAACATCGATCAGCTGCCTCCTGCACACCTCCCACTGGGGATGTGCCTGCAACCCAGGTACATGCCCTTGACCGGAATCGACCCCGGGACCCTTGAGTCCGCAGGCCGACGCTCTATCCACTCAGCCAAACCGGTTTCAGCAAAAAGTCAACTTTTATTAGTTAGTATGTAATAAAGACATCTTTATCTCACACAATAAGAGGATGTTAGGATCTTTATAGTTCCAAACACTCAACAGTATTATCACAAACTCAAAACCCTTTTGTCCTTCTGTTCTGCTGAGTGTGATGGCCTTTGTCCCTGTGCTTGTTACTCTATTGTTATAACTGATAAAGTATCCAGTCAGCAAGAGAAATGAGAATAGGTGGTATATATATAAGCCCAGTCTCTTTTTTAGGAAGAAAACTATTTCCTAGGAGCCTCCTCAGTGCACTTGCCCATAAATATCACTGGCTGTGATTCTGTCACATGCCACCTTAGCTTCAGAGGCTAGGACAGGGGTGGGCAAACTTTTTGACTCGAGGGCCACAATGGGTTCTTAAACTGGACCGGAGGGCCGGAACCAAAGCATGGATGGAGTGTTTGTGTGAACTAATATAAATTCAAAGTAAACATCATTACATAAAAGGGTACGGTCTTTTTTTTTTTTTTAGTTTTATTCATTTCAAATGGACCGGATCCGGCCCGCGGGCCATAGTTTGCCCACGGCTGGGCTAGGAAGATGATTACCAAACAAAGAAGATTGCCAAGTAGACTTAGACCAATCATGATCCAGCCCCTGAGAATGGGCACACTGCCACCTGAATAAAAATCTGGGCTTTGTTAGCAAGGAAGAAGGCCCAGAATGGTCATTGAATGGATAGTGTCTGCCACCACTTCTCTGTTGTCTCAGTATTATCTAGAATGGTCATTGAATGGATAGTGTCTGCCACCACTTCTCTGTTGTCTCAGTATTATCAATGGGTAACTTTCTCTGTTTTCCCCCCCAAACACTCCATATTGAGGCTATTCTAAACTAAAAGCTCACATTTTAGTAGTCCTCCTTCTGTGCTGTGTTAGCCATATCGTAACTTGAAATAACACCTATATTTATTATATGTAAAATCCACAAGCTAAAAAAAAAGCATCCATGGAAATATATAATTAGGAATTTATAAAACATGATAGATTCTGGAAGTCTTTCCCAGTGACTCTATACACTGAGATTATACAGGGAGTTTTTACACACTACCAATTCTCCAAACCAGACCAGCTAAGTCAGAATCTCTGAGTGGGGCCCTCGCATTGGTAAAGCTTCCCATGTGATTCTAATGTGCAGCTAGAGTTGAGAACTGTTGCAAGAAAGATGTATAGGAAGCAAATATAAAAATCATTTCTACTTTTAGCTTCTCTGGAAACCTGTTCCTAGCCAATGAGAGATTTTCTCATTGTTTCTCAATACCCATATTTATTTATTCATTAAGACATTATGTATATGTATACCATGTACATATAGGTCTGTATGCAATGTTGTGGATATCTTTTAAAAATTTTAAAATAGCTTACATTTCAAAATTTTTCTGTTCTACTGAGATAAAACAGTGAAAGATTTCCATTTAAACAAGATCTTATTTGTTGAATACCAAAATGAGGGGCACAGATAGTATGGGCTTCAGGAGGTTATATGAGAGACAAATAAATGTGGACTAGAATGGTCAGTAAAGGCTTCCTACAGGTATTGGGAAAATTTGGATAGGCAATGGTGAGGAAGGAAGCAGCCATATTTGTTACGGATCACAATGTGCTAACTCTACTATATTTGGAATCTAGCCATGTCAGTTGGTTCTCTGGTGTAGGAGATAAGACTAAAAACGTTGAAGAAACTGATGTTTTGATGGTTTAGATGTCGCCAAGCTAGAGAAAAGAATGGTCAAAGCAGGCCCTAAAATACTAAGTTTTCAGGAAAAAAATTTTCAGGAAAGAGCTCAATTGAGGCTGAGAAATAAGTTAGAAGTATTCAGTAGGTAATTGGGAAAAAAGGAGTATGCCTGGGCACAGGTGTGTTTAGGGCATAGAGATGATGTGGAAGCTGTGAAAGTAAACACAGAGATCGAAAACTAGAAGCCAGGTTTTCAAATATGTCCGAGCACTCAAACAAAATCCCTTCCAGAGCTCTCTGGCATCTTCCCTGGCTGGAGACTTAGACATGCCCCTGTAGTAAAGAGCTTGGTCCTACACTCTGGTAAAGAAGGCTGCAATTAGGATACTTCAAGGAGAAATGCAACTGGAAGGAGCACAAGATATGATCTGGTCCATGCTCCCTATTTGCTAATGTGGCAGCCAACTCTCCCAGTTTAAGTGGCTTTACCAAACTCACAGAGGGTTAGTAGAGATCAAGTCCACAGACCTACTGGGTATAACAACTATGTTTACTTTTACTTTATTAATAGTCAGGATGATCCACAAAGGCCATTTGCTGTTTAACCGGTAGTTTATTCTTTATTTTTCATTTTTATTTCATTCAGCAAATATGCATGGTAAGTATTAGGAATGTAGGAGATGGACATGTTTGGCTGCTGAGTTCCATTTACCCTAATTATAACATGTGTCATTAACTCCCAAGGCCCAGTAGCCTTAAATGATGCTAAGAACCTAGCATGCTGGGGATTTACTAATCCTTCTTATGTTTTTACTTATCCTGGTCTGAGGTCTGATAGCAAATGAAGTTTTATCTGTGTGTGTGTATGTGGTTATTAATTTGTCAACGAGTATTTTAAATTTATTATTTAAATAACTTATTAAGTAGGAACTACATTCTTAGAATTAAGAAAGTACAAAAGGTACACAGTAAAAATTCTCTCTGTGTGTCTTAGACCTACCCACTGCCCTTACCCAATGGCAATCTGTGTTATCCAGTTTTTATGTTTCCTTTTAGTTAAAGGTACACAGTAAAAATTCTCTCTGTGTGTCCTACCCACTGCCCTTCCCCAATGGCAATCTGTGTTGTCCAGTTTTTATGTTTCCTTTTAGCGATATTTTATGCAGGTACTAGCACATTCATGGAGGCATATACTCCCCTCCCATTTTTACACAAATCGCACACTATAGTCCTTGCTCAACACTTTTTTGAACAATATATTGATGGTCTTTCTGGACCTCTCCTGCCTCTATTTCATTTTTCTGCAATTGTTAGTGAAGGAATTTCTATGTAGGATAGTCCTCAGTCATTTCTATCCCATTCTTGGATAAACCATGATAAATAGTTTGGCCATTTCTAGTCTTTTACTATTACAAGGCTGCAGTGTGTACCCTTTTACATATGCTATTTCACATATGTGCAGTGATATCTAGGGGGCAAATTCATAGAAGTAGACTTGCCAAGTCAAAGGGTATATGTATGTAATTTTAATGGATCTTGGAAAATTGTATCCCATACAGGTTGTGCCAGTTTCCACCACCACCAGCAATGTATACAAAAACTTGTTTTGCCAAATTTTCACCATACATTGTAGTATCAATAATTTGGAGTTTTGCCAACATAGCTATACTAATAATAGCCTAGGTGGCGTCATGCCCTCACATCATTACAAGATAGCCGTCACAAGACGGCCGTCACAAGATGGCCACACACACAGCGGAGGCGGGGCCCTGCAGCCACTCCATGCAGTGAGGCCTGGGGGTCCTGTGGCTCTGCCAGTATGGAGGAGGCCAGTCCCAACAGAAGGAGAAAGATCGCAGCAGGGGAGGGCAGTTGTGAGCGATCGGGCCAGCAGGGGAGCAGTTAGACATCAATTAGGCCGGCAGGGGAGCAGTTAGGGGGCAATCAGGCTGGCAGGCAGAAGCAGTTAAGGGCAATCAGGCAGGCAGGTGAGTGGATAGGAGCCAGAGGTCCTGGATTGTGAGAGGGATGTCCCTGTGGGATCAGGCCTAAACCAGCAGTTGGACATCCCCTGAGGGATCCCAGATTGGAGAGGGTGCAGGCCGGGCTGAGGGACCCCCTCAGTGATGTTATTTCATGTACCGGGCCTCTAGTTAAATATAAATGATATCTCAGTGAGGATTTAACTTGCTTTACTCTTTGAGTTAGATTGTGTGTTTAAAAGTCATTTTATTTTTTCCTATGAACTATTTTAATTAGGTTATTGAATTTTTATATATTGATTTATAGGAGTTTTCCATGTATTATTGAAATTAGCAATTTGTTTGTGATACAAATTTTAAAACTTCCCAGTCTATCTCACTTTTTATTTTGATTATGATGATTTTTTCCATAAAAAAAATTATTTTATTTTTATTGTGATGAAGCTATGAATTCTTATATCATGACTTCTGAGTTTTGTGACATGTTTAGAAAGGACTTCTCTCACTCAAATGTTATTTTTAATTCTCTCATTTAATTGAATAATTTTGTGGTTTTAGTTGTACATTTTAACTCATCTGGAATTTATTTTGGTACATTTGTTGGATGTTTTCCCAACACCATTTTTTCCTCACTGAGCAAATACCATTTGTTTATTCCTCCAATTCAACTTGAATCAAAATATTGCTTTGAATTTCTAAATGAAATCAATATTGATTGAATGGCCACTATGCACAAAGGATCATTTCATAATGTTTTCTTTCTAACTTTCCCTTTAAGAAGAATTGGGGACAGGATCATAAGGCCTCATATCCAGAAGCTTATTTTAGTAGGTAAAAAAGTAAAAGAAAAACTTGAACAATAAAGTTTCTAGCTATAATAGGAACTGGTTATAGCCATATTCAGTGAGACAATGAGCTAGTTCAAGTTACAAGCAAAGAAAACATACATGGTTCATTGTGGTTGTGAGTC